TTACATCATCCCCATAACAATCACTCCCAACAATATTATTTTAATCATATCAGGGACTCTTATTTTCATCCCATCATTCGGTTTTACTTCTTCTTCTTCTTTTCCTCCTTCTTCTGTCTCTCTGCTTGAATCAGTAGTACATTTGGTAGGCTTGCACTTGCGCATCGACGTCAACGTCACTGTCGACGTCACCGTTGACGTACTCGTTGTCGTACTCGTATGCAATGACGTACTCGTCACCCATGTATCTGTTGTTTGTATCATTGTACACTCTTCTGTTACTTTTCCTCCACTTCCCTGCTTGGTTGTAGTAGTAGTTGTCGTCGTAGTCGTTGTAGTGGTCGTTGTAGTGGTCGTCGTAGTGGTTGAGATTTCTTTTTGCGTCTCTGTATGATGAGGCTTAATTTCTAATGGTTTTATTCCTTTGCATAACGTGTCTATTTCTTTACAAGCTGGTTTAGATTCCTCACAATCCTCTTTAAAACCGCAATCTAGTTCTAAAGCATTGCATTCCTCTTTCAATTCCAAATACAGCTCCAATGCTATCGTCGTTGCATCAAATGCTTTGACCTCTACTTCTGATACTCCTCCTTCTACATACGCTCTTTTAACGAGTCCAAGTTTTGCAGGGCCCGTCGTTCCAGCTGATTTATTTGGCGTTCCATCTGATGCGTTTGGCGTTCCACCAGTTGATGATGATGGTGACCCTTGTGATTGTGATGATGAGTCTGATGATGATGACCCTGCTGGTACTTGTGGTGGTGATGACTCTTTTTCTGGTGCTGACGGTGGTTGTGATACTTCTTCAGAAGCACTGCCATTCTGCGCATTTGGCATTACAGTTTGTCTAGGTCTTGATAGCAATAAGCTAGCTGCCTTTGTAGATTCTTCTGCCGCCTTTTTGAGATCATCGTACTCAGTCTTCATCTTTGTCAACTCCTCTTTCGCTTTATTCAGTTCGGTTTTTAAAGTAGGACATCTCTCTTGTACTTTTTTAACTAATTTTGTGCAAACATTTTGCTTATCTTTTTCACAATCACTAAGCAGAATTTTGAATGTTTCATTCTTTTGCAAGTCAGTGCAATTCTTTCCTAATGCTTCTGTACATTTTTTTTCATCCTTTAAACTGCCTTTCAACAGATGAGTTAAATCATCCTTCGCTTTTAACTTTTTAAAGGTATCACTGCATTTTTCATCGAGTGCTTCGCAGTTCTCATCTTTGTTATTTTCTTTCAACTGCTCCGGACAATTCTTCACAAGTTGGTGACAATGTCGGCCCCATGTTGTGCAGAGTTCTTCGAGTGTTGCTTCATTTCCATTTGCTCCTCCAATTCTTCCTACAATTCCTCCATTCTTGATGTTTTCTTTTAAATATCTACAATCTTGACTTGTGTGGAATACCATATAACTACATGTTTCTTCTGGTAAAGCACATGAAACACTAAATGAATTCTTTCTCCTCCTAGATAAAGCTTCACATTTCTCATGCAATGCCTTTGTACAGTTTTCCTGAATCATTAACGAATCATCCTTTTTTTCTAAAAATACTTTTCTAAATCTTTCTGTAACTTTAAAGTATTCACAGCGTCTTTTCAATGTTATACACTTTTCTAAATTCAATAATGAATCACTACCAAGTTCATCACACTTCTCTCCCAATTCAAGACAATCCTTTTCAAATGGAAAATCTCTCTGATCATCTAAAAGCAAACTTAACTCTTTGGATTGAAGAAAAATATCATTTGAAAGCCCATAACATAGTTCTTTAGGATAAAGACATTTTGAAAGGTATCTTTTATCTTCTTTAAGTTTTGTACAGTTTTCTACCACATATTTTTTACAATCTTTAGGATCGCTATTATATCTTACAAAACCAAGCTTTCCCTTCAATTCCTTTTGAAAGAACTTATTCAACATCCTGTCTTGTCCCTTTTTATAGCACGCTGCTCTTGCATTTTGACATGCTTGATCAATCTTATTATCCTCACATGCATTTTCTAAATAGAAACATTCTGACTCAAGTTCTGCACATTCTCCTTTTATAAAAAAGGTTGGCAGCTGTCCCCACAATAAAAGATCTGAATCAGCTTTTTCATATCCTGTAGACAACCCTTTGAGATAAAGTTTTAATTTGAGATTTGTACATCTTTCTTTTACATTTACATCTAGTAATTCTTTGCATTTTTCGTTTTTAGTATTTTCATCTTTGCATAACTCTTTAAAATTATGATCCAAGTCACTAAGATCTTTGCATTTTCCTAACGCTTTACTGCATTTACTTGTTGCATCCTTCTTATTCTCATCTCTGCTCAACACTAGCAAGAGATCTTGCAGAAATTTTGTACCCGACTTCCTTGGTAGATCCACTCCTGCTTTTCCAATAATAATCCCATGTTTTTCCGCGTTTTTATAGACATCATCCAACCCAATACTTCTCAACAACGACGGCTTCGGCTTGACCGGACTAAAATCGGATTCTGGTGCTTTATATATGACTCCTTTTGCCTCGCATTTTTTCTTATCCTCTTCACACTTTGAATCATCACACGCTTTTCCATAAAAATGACATTTCTCAAGTCTTTTATGACAATCTCTTTCTAAACTATTCTCATCCAATTCTTTTTTAAAAGGCTTGCAAACTTCATCCAATTTTGTTTTCAGATCTCCACATGTTTTAGCAGAATTAAGGCAGAAAAACATCAGCTCGTCGCTTTCTCGGCTTAACACTGAGCAAACATTTTTTATCTTTTCTTTACATTCACCATCATTTTTAGCTTCCTTTCCGAGCGCCCTCAAAAGAAGCTCCTCTGCCACCTTTTTACGCTTCAATTCGTAACATTTCTCCCTCAACTCGACACAGTTCTCCTTAAGAGTATTTGGGTCTGCTTCCTCTAAAAGTATACATTTTTCTTCATGTTTTTTACATTCTTCTTCATCTTTTATATTATTCGATGCAGTTTCAAGTTCCTCTTCAAAAGTTTTCAATACTTTTTCAACTTTGGCTTTCAGGTCTTTGCATTTTTCGTCTCGTTTTGCTTCATCACAAAGTTCTTTAACTTTTTCATCCACTTTCTCTAGATTTTCATCTGCTTTCTTCAACTCTTCACAATATTTCTCGAGTTCTGTTTTGCATTCATCATCTTTTTCATATTTGTCCTTCACAATGAAAGCCAAAAAGTGTTCCTCCTTAATGTCATCTTGTGCTACTTGTGCTGCTTGCCTCTTAACCGGCCGTGCCAT